TCGGCCCTCGTTTATCAAGCGTAATATTATAGGGGCGCATATTGGTTGCCAGCCGACTGGCCCCCCCAGAAAAATAGTACCCAGCACGCCACTGATCAGGGGTGATCTAAAGTTGCAATCGCGTGTTTATCATTAACTGATTGCTGAAGCAGTCCATCTATAAAACTAAAAATTAAAACAAATATCGCGTTCCCGCCAAAAATCACGCGGGAATTTCTTTTTGCGCTTGCATGCAGGCATCACTCAGTAAAACAAATAACAAACTTGGCCCGACAAAGCTAGCTAGCCCGGTTTAAGGTTACAGAACACCTTTGAGTGTTAATTTTGCCTAAAATTTTTTTATTCGTTTCAATGAAACATTAGACTAGTTCTACTATCTGACCAAGTTTGAACGAAAAATGTTGAAAACTCGCAGAGTTATTTAATAAAATACATTTCGCTGCTATAAGAAAAACATTGAAAATGTAATATTCAAATTCAATTTTCTCACGAAACATTTTACGGTAATTACTGATTTTCAAACGAGTTGTGCTCCTGCGGATTTTAACCAATTTTTCTCATATTTTCACAGGACATAGCTAAATACGTCAGTTTCAAAATTGTGTTCGGCTTTTTTTTAATTTTGGATATTTTAAAAATTAAGAGCAATTCACTCAAACAATTCAGAAATATATTGCAGTCGTCAAAGAAATCGCCATATCAGCGGAATGACGAAATAAACAAAAATTTCCGAACACAATTTTTTAGAACAACTATTTTACTGTATAAAAATGATATTTTCATAAATATAACTTAAAACCAGCAGGAGCACAACTCAAAAGCGTAAAGGTACCGCGATTTAAGATTTTCCTGAATAATTCTTAGATTATTTTATTGCTTGTTAATTTTACAACTTTACCATATTTTGCATGCACTGGAGAACATTTGGTGAAAATTTGATGAAAATCGGACTGATATTGAGCGCGCAGTAGCGATTTTCCGCAAAACGCCAAAAAGGGTGTCCTGTAACCTTAACGGACCAGCCCGGCTCTGGCTGCGTTTAGACTATGATGCTACAGTAAAATTACCACAGGCTCACAGCGTAGTGAATTGATTGTATCCGGAGTGCCAAACAGGGCCCCCGAGTGGGGGGGGGGCAAATTGCCCCGGGCCCCCACATTAATAGGGCCCCAACTTGAGAGCGAAAGCCTAAAATTGAGTAGGTATACTTCTTTAAATTGGTCAGAGAATTTGTGAAATTGAGGACCCCTTACAGTACCTCCACATGCAGTCTAGCTAAGGTCTAGTTGGGTCCAGCTTAAAAATAATGATGCCATGGGGCCCCCAGGGAAGATTTGCCCCGGGTCCCGCGAATTCTCTCGGCGGCCCTGGTGCCAAACGGTATAGTGCCTAGTGGTATGTAGTTTATTCGCTACGGCAACCACTCCGTTATAGTGTAAAGTGTAAACACAATACTGTCTAAGAAACGTGAGTGAATTTTTAATGAATTGATTTGCATTCAGAGTGGCCAACTAGTGGTCGTTAGTACGCTACGAAAAACCACTCCGTTATAGTGTATAACTTATAGTGTATATAAACACAATATAGTCTCAATACTAGAAACGTAGTATAAAATTTTTAACGGAATGTTAGCCGTAGCACAGAATAGTGTCATACTCAGACATAGTGTAAATGCGGCCTCATATGAATGACAGTCCTTTAAATAGAAATTATACTAATTACTTCTATAATCAATACTCTGTAATCAATGTATAAAATATTAAAAAACTCATTAACAATTCATGAAGAAAACACAAAGAAAAATCATAAGCGTACGTGTCGTATCTGTATATGTGATACAGATTCATGTTGATTTACATAAACTTTAACTTTGATTTTCTCGGCTTAGACAACGTTTATTTTTTTCGGCTCGAGTTTGTATATCCGATACAACACGGCCGCTCATGTTGTAAATAGTACTTACAATTCTCAACATTGCACTTTTATCGCGGCCTGTTGACTATTGTAATTATTGCTCAAGTTCAAATTTACTTCCAAACAGTGCGGATTATACGTCCTATCAATGATTTTAAAAATACTAAAAGATAGTTACAGGTAAACTACGTAAAGCGTTCCTCTTTTGAGTTTCTAAATTGATTGCAATTTTCCTCATTACTTTTGCAATTTAAAAAACTCCCTTGCAAATCCCATGAGGAAATTTGCAATGCGAGTTGCTAAAAAGCCAATTAAATTTTCCTCAGTTCCTGCTAGCCTGCGAATACAGACGCCTCACATCGGACATTTCGCCCGATGTGAGGCGTCTGTATTCGCAGGCTAAGTTCCTGCATGGATAATAAAATAAATGGATAGGAAACTAGCTGACGTGACCTAATGTTTTCAATGGGCTGATGGCGTGATTGGATGTTGAAACCTAGTTGCAAACCAAATTCCCAAAAACGGCATGTTTAGCAATAATACAGCTAAACATTTTAGTCAAAGAGTAAATGAATATAACTACGCCATTCTACGATGAAATCTCTAAGTATTCCCAGTCAATTTTAGCAAATATATCAAGCACTAAACAGTGAAAAAGGCATCCCAAATTTCGTTAAAATTGGGGACGCCAATTTCGTAGCTACAAATGTAAAAAAATACAAAACAAAGACGAAAAACATTTACCTTGAATACTTTGTCGTGGCTTAGGCATGTTTTTAAAACAATTAGACCAGTTTACAAGGGTGGGTTGTAGCGAAGTAGTTGTAGTTCGCTACTGTAGCGAACTACAATTTTCAAGTAGCCAGTAGTTTTTGATTACTTTTTTAAAACAACAGTTGTAGTTATAGCGAACTACATTTTGCCTAAAAGTAGCCAAGTAGTTGACTACTTTTTAAACAGCGAATCGCTATTTGCCAGCCTAGACCTAGGCCTTCTAGTCTTATTTATATTTTTTAGAAACCTCTGCCAGAAGTCACGCCCAATAGTTCAAAATACCGGGGGGAGGAGTTTGTGAGAAATTTATTAATTGTTATTGTTACATGTAATTGTTAATTTGTTATTCTCAAAACTGTTTGTATCTATGGACGACGCAAATTTAGTAGAAAAACTTGACCTAAAACACTCTTGTTTTGGGAAGCGTTATTGTTAGAATGGAGGAATGGGAAAACGTGTTGTCATGCTTGTTTTACAGAATATGGGAAAATCGAAATATTTTTAAAAAATGGACTTTATGTCCATTTATTAAATACAGATCGCTTCATCGGCGATCGGATTTCAGCGAAGAAACAACGGTTAAAAAAGGAGTAGAACTACTGCAGGACTTGGTTGCAACTTAAACTTTTAACAATCTCCAAAAGCTTTCCAATATGAGGCGATTAACCGCTTAGGTTGTTGTTCATGTTCAGCTTCGGATGGGCTTAGTTGATGTTTACATGCTTGAAATACAACATCTGCTTGACTATCTATAAGTAAACATTTGCATAATTGTAAATCAGGGTAGCCAGATACAGGCAGATTTTTATAAAAATTGAATCCTATTTGACATAATCAACAAACTATTGTTTACCAATTGAAATATATTAATCATAGATGACATGATATATCTGACATATATGCCTCATTTTTATACTAGACGGCAGACCCATCAATTTTCCATTTCCATTTACAAAATTACAGCACAAATTACTTATTAACTTGTCTCAAATTTATAATTGTACTGTAAAGAACTCAAATTCTTTAAATATAGTTACAGCTACTGATTTAAAAGTATAATTATCAATGGAAAATTGAGAAATAATAGTATACAAAAACCAAGGGGTGAATAAGTGAATTTAATTATTATTTAATATACTAAACACAGACACTCAGACACAGTACTATCATAACATTTTTATTAGTTTTACAATAAGAAATTGAAGGCACAGACAACAGGACTAATAAAGTCCCAAATTAAGTCCAGCCATACATGAAAATACTACGCTATACTATGCTATACTATACTATAAACGGTTATAAAATTATAAACAAAATACATAGCTAGTTACATATTTACGGTATTACACATAATTACATTCGTACAGAAACTTATAACATGCACTTCTACGAACAAGACATAAAACAAGAACGACATTTAGAGCAAAACGTTTTCCAAGTCCTTGGCCTATTAACATCAAAACATGCATTAAAAAAACAAACATTAACATGCATTAATATAATACCTATACAAAGTTTTTAATTGAAGAGATATAACTTCTTTGACACTAACCTTCAATGGAAAGCTCATCACTAATGATACGTTTAATACTGACTCTTCGAATGTGTCTTCTGAATTCTCCATACTTGCTATAAGCGAGCTTAAGATGTACCAAATCTACGACGCGGACGTGACATAAAAACCGTTGCTGATGTTTCGAATCCAGTTTTATTTTGCTTCACTAGAGTGTCTCTGACTTTGTTTATCAACTGGAGGCCATAATTTTTATCCGTGTAATGAAACTGTTGGAATAGTTACAGGTTTTCTTCACGTTCGCATCGAAGATTTGGTGCATCTTAAGGGGCGGACCATTTGACTTTTGAGGGGGGGGGGGAAGATTTCGAAAAAAAATTTCCTGCAACCCAAGGAGAAAGAAAAAAAAAATCATGCAGCACACAATCGAGAAAAAAAAATATCATGCAAAAGAGAGCGCTCAAAAAAAAATTTTCTACATGTAACTCTACTGATGCTCTTCACTTCAGTATTGTGTCCACAGGCTTGCAAGATTTTGCATTTTTGAGCAGGCACATTTGCTTAAAAGAACACGGGGTGAACAGTGGATAACATCACAGGGATTCTACCGCCTTTGGAGCCTCTGACATACGATAGCCAGTGGTGTTCCCTGGCAAAATTGTTGCCCCCCCCCTGAGAAAATCTGGGCTTAAGATAATTATCCATGGCTGAAAACGTAGGAAATAGCATTTCCGAGGTTCAAATTTTAAAATTTTCTCGGGGGAGCATGCCCCATATATTGCATGCCCCATATGACCCCAGGTCATTCATATACTGTACCCTCCCCCATTTTCGAGTACTCTACTCTATCCCTGCATGTTTTAGGTTTTGGTGCAGTTATACATTCTTTGTAAGTAAACTTGCACGCTTTAGTGTGGGGAACATTAAGACATAACCATATATAAAATAAAGCACAGTGAAAATTCCTTGGCCCCTCTTGGGATTCAGTTCTCGGCCTCCTCTGACTGAAAACCCCTGCTACGTCTCCGATGATAGCTATATGAAAGCCTAAAGTTACTGTAAGCCGTTATTATGAGAGGCAAAAAAAATATCCTGCGGCCAAATATATTGGGAAAAAAATATCTTGCGCTGCACTTTTACAGGAAAAAAATATCTGTCTCGTTCGCCTGGGCGGAAAAAAAATTCTTGCACAGACTGAATCTTCCACCTCCCCCCTCAAAAATCAAATGGTCCGCCCTTAAGCTCGCTTTGATAAACATATACCCCCCCCGAACAGGGCACAGATAATTGAAAACATCGTTTAAAGTCTTCAAATCACATGGAGAACGCTAATATTTTGACACTGTTTTGAGCGTCCTTCTTATATACACCTTCGCTGAAAAGTTTGTGTCAATTGCTCAAAAGAATTTAGAGTTATTCAAGTTCTAGCACTTTTTCGACCAATTTAGCACTTTTTCGACCGACTTCTGGCAGAGGTTTGGCTTTGTGCTTTTTTCGCCTGCGCGTCTTCCACACAGCGGTTCAATATAGTAAACGTCATGTAAAGCTCATTGAAACCTCTGCGGAGGAGAGAGTCCATGGTTCCTGTTATACAATTACTTTATGGTTTCCGTGTTTGGATGGCCTGATCCAAACACGCGGGAATGTTGCGAGGGTTTAATTAAAGAAAAGCGAGCGAAATCACGAGCCGAAGGCGAGTGATTTTGCCCGCTTTTCTTAACTCGAGCAACATTCCCAAGTGTTTGGATCATTCCATCCAAACACGGAAACCATAAAGTAATTGTTTTATAAAATAACAACAACACGATAGTCTTCCGTGTTTGGATGGCCTGATCCAAACATGGCTTTCGACCAATCAGAATACGCGTTATGTACATGTTATTTTATAATAGAAGTCCTTAACTTCCTGTTACAAAGTTCCTAATTTCCTGTTCTGTTCTGGGCGTTGCAATTGGCTAACAAAAATAATCGACCAATAACAACGCTCAGAACAGAACAGGAAGTTAGGAAATTAAAACAGGAAGTTAGGAAAATTTAAAATAAAGTTTGGAATATTGCAACAGCCGATAGGAACATTGCAAATTCCCTCAAGGGATTTGCAAAGTGTTTTTCAAATTTGCAAAGCTAATGAGGAAAATTCCAAATGAGTTACGAAGTCAAAAGAGGAACGCTTCACGTAGTTTACCTGTAATAATAAAGCAATAGGTTATAATTTTGTTATGATTTACTATATTTTGTTTTGTATTACTTAGCGGCTACCAAATTATGCGTTACCAATAATAAAAATTAAATTTTGCTACTTATGCAGTGAATCTTACAGAAAAGCCATTCTTTGTTACAAGTATTGCAATATAAGTATTATTATTAATACACAACGAAATATACAATAAGACAACAGAGTAAAAGAGCGGAAGTGTGCGGGTTTTAGTGTTTTGACTGTAAATAAAAATCGTCCATCGTCCAGGTTTTAGCACATGCCTTACAGTAATGCTGTGCAAATTTTTAATGATTTGCATTATTCAATGTATTGTCTTTACTCGATTTAGATGCAGGTTTATGTACAATTGCTTAAAAAAGCATTCAGTTGCCGCTTGATATTAACTTGAAAGATTCAACTTTCAACCAACGAAAGTAGTTTAATAGTGTAAAACAGTCAAAGTCGAAATGGCATAAACTATAAAGGAAAAATAGAGGAAAGCACGAAGAATATTGTCTAACAAAGTAGCGGTTCAGTAAGGCCAGTAAGCGGGCCCCCCATCGGAAATTATATGACAAAATAAAGTACGCATTCTACGGTACAAATAAACGCCATTTTTCAAACAGTTAGAAACATTGCAATAGTACAATACTAGCCAATATTCAAAGCACATTTAAATTCAGAGTATAGTCTCAGCACAAAAGTAGTAAGTTGAAATGTACAAGTAGCGGCTGTGGCGCCAACGTGCATTCCCGATTCGGTCTGCAATCATATTAATTCAAGGAGCAAAAATGCACTACAAGCGACGCTTTAAAACATAAGACACTATAAAATAAATGGTTTACTTACTGTATTTTGTAAACGTTCAAGAAAAATGCGCTGTAATACCAATTTCGTCGCTTAAAACGCGAATAAAAGGACTCACAATAACAGTGATCAAGTGAGCAATCGATTGTCAGTTAGAATCAACCACGTGTGACAGATTTGAATCCGTTATTCATAAACACCGCTTACACCACGGGTGTTTCGAAAACAAAGACCTACGAAAACGAGGACCGAAGACCTAAGATGGGTCTTCGGCCTTGGTAATTACGAAAACGAAGACCCATCTTCGTTTTCGTATTACGAAAACGAAGACCATAAAATATTCATTTATAGCTACGTAATTTTCGTGAAAATAAGCGTAAAAATGTCGCGAAAAATTTCCGATAAATTGTGGAAATCACTAGAAACGTACGTAAACCACTCATGTGGCAAAGTCAAACATCAGACTGGTAAGAAATAGCTAAATAATTTAGCAATATTCCATATATATATATATGCATTTGCTGTACTATTGTCAATGTCTGCATGGGCAAATCAGTTTAAATCAGTAATACCAACAGTGTGACTAGATTTTAATTACTTTTGGTAACATTTCACGATTTTTCTGACTTTTTGGTACGCTATGCGCCTATGTTCTTTGCAGGGCGAAGGGAGAGAGGGCGTAGAAACGGCCATACAGCGAGCGGACCCATCCGTGATGCGGGCTTCGCGGGGGGTAAGACGTTCTAATTGTAAACAAATATGGCTACGCGTATATCACCCATCTGAAGGTATGCTGAAACTATTGCTTTATAAAATATTACTTGTGTAAAATTTATATGTTTTTGTTACTTTCAGCTATTATAAGAAACTTAAAGATAAGATTTAAGTAACAAAAAACTTTATTTCGGGTGTTATTTTATTTATATACTCTGTTTAATTTGGTGGTTAAAAATGGCCGTCGAAATGTTGTCCGAGAGTGTTAGCGCGCACTGCTTCCTGATAAAAAACCAATGATTTCCAAAACCTAAATTATAATTTGTTATTAAGTTATGATGAAAACCTTTGCGTATACAAAATTATAGAGTGAGCAAACATGAGACAGATAGGTTTTGAACCTTTCAAAGTTCGAGGTCGAATTGACAGTTGAAATAGTACCAAACTCCAAGCTGAAATGTGCAACTAAATCGTGTATATTTTTGTCAATTTTGTTCGCTGGCTTTGTTAAATTCACTTGCAATGGCTCGACATAAGTTACAACATACAAACTGAGCAGAGCCCATGAAAGAGCTATCCATACCCATACAGTCATTCAGCTTCCTTGCTATTTAGAAATTGTTGCCCATTTATAGTTGAAGAAGAATTGCTATTGTATGCGCTTGTTTGCACTTCCTTTCCTAAAAAAAGTCTACA